CCTCCTAGCCCAATTCAGTACTGCAGCCTACAGCTTTATAGTTCCCTCCCCATTGCTCTGAACACAGGACTCCTCCTGCAGCGCATGTGTCTTTGTGTCTCAGTACCTCATCTCCAATATATTATAGCTGTAAAGGACTTTCTTCTTCAAGCTGATTCCCTACTTATTGGAATACAAATTCTACTGCAGTCTACTCCCACCCAGGGGCGGACTGATCATTTGTAAACTTGGTCACTGTCGAGGGCCCGGGGTCAGTAGGGGGCCCCATGAGATGTCCCTGATACCTTTTTCATAGGCTTTTTTGAGTTTGGGCAAGGACACAGGGGCCCCATGATCCCCTATTGCCAGGGGACCCATGAGTTGTCAGTCCGCCCCTGCTCCCACCCCATCCTCTACTATATCAATCTTTGTCTTCACCTGCATCCACAAAAGGGTCCCTTCTAGTTCTGCTACTTCTGTGGGATCTCGTGGGCCCGGACCTGCTCGAGCTGTACGAGGAGATGGTGGTGGAGGGCAAGATGCCTCCTTCGTTGAGGGAGGGGATGATCACGATCCTGTACAAGCGTAAGGGGGAGAGATGTGACTTGAAAAATTGGCGTCCCATCTCTCTCTTGAACGTGGACTACAAGATCCTCGCCAAAGTTATGGCGAACAGGTTGAAGGCTGTCATCGGACAGATAATCCACCCGGATCAGACTTGTGGCATTCCTGGCCGCAGGATTGCGGACAGCCTAGCGCTTGTCCGGGACACGGTCCAGTACATCAAAGACCGCCGTGTGCACGCGGCCCTGGTCAGTCTTGACCAGGAAAAGGCCTTTGACCGTGTCTCCCATGGGTTTATGTGCAGAGCCCTGCGCAGGTTTGGTCTTGGGGAAATGTTCTGTTCGGTTGTGGATATGATGTACACGGCATTTGTAGTTCCGTGCAGGTGAACGGCTGGAAGACTGACCCCTTCCCGGTCCTCTCGGGGTCAGACAAGGCTGTCCTCTCTCACCTCTGCTTTTTTGTTTGCTGTATAGAGCTCTTCGCCGAATGCATCAGACGGAATCCAGAGATTGGGGGAATCACCGCACCGGGACCAGACAGACGGGAAGTGAAGTGCTCGCTCTACATGGACGACGTGACGGTGTTCTGTGCCAACCAGCGCTCCATCGACCTGCTCGTCCAGACCTGCGAGGACTTCGGCCAAGCTTCGGGGCAAAGGTCAACTGCGGGAAGTCGGAAGTCATGCTCTTCGGAAAGTGGTTCCTGCCTTCTTCTGCATCCATGCCCTTTGGCATCAAGACAGACTTCATGAAGATTTTGGGAGTTTGGTTTGGTGCCGAGGGCGCAGCCCTGAAGTCTTGGGAGAAGAGACTGGCCAAGATGCATCAAAAGTTTGGACTCTGGAGCCTCAGAGACCTCACCATCGAAGGGAAGACACTGGTACTCCGCAGCGAGATTCTCCCTGTGTTGCAGTACCTCGCCCAGGCCTGGCCCCCTCAGGTCAACACCTGTAAGGCCATCACCAGGGCGGTGTTTCACTTCATCTGGGGCTCCAAGATGGACAGAGTGAAGCGGGCAGTCATGTTCAAGGAACCCCTCAAGGGCGGTAAGGGCGTGCCCGACATCGCCACCCAGCTGAGGGTGTTCTTTGCTTGCAACTGCGTCCGCAGAACTTTGCCCAGACGGATTATGGACTCTGGCGGGAACGCAATGTCTCGCTTCTTCCTGTTGCCTCTCTGGAGGTCCCTGGGGTGGGACACTTGGGATAGTTCCATCCCCTACAACTGGGACACTCCTTGGTACTACTTGGATACCTTCAAGTTCATCAGGGAGCAAGGGCTGCAGGGAGTCAAGCCTGACTTGTGGAAGCCAAAGACTATCTACAAGCTCATCCGAGCCAGCGACATTTTGGAGTCGGTTCCAGGCCTGCCTTCAGACACCTGCAAGGTGGTCTGGAGGAATGTTTCTTCCAACATTCTTACCAACAGGCACAAAGACCTGGCATGGATGGCAATCCAAGGGGGGTTGCCTCTCAGGACATTTATGCATGCCAGGAACCTGAGCAGATACAGACACTGCCCCTTCTGCATCATCCACGAGGAAACGTCTTACCACGTTTTCTGGGAGTGCTCATTTGCTCAGGCCCTGTTGGGGGCCCTGGAACCTGAACTCAAGGACTTTGTACCACAGACAGCCATCACTCACTTTGGGGTGTTGAATGGACTGTTCTGTGGAACCTTTTCTCTGGAGGACATTGATGGCGCCTGGCGGGTGCTGTGTTGTTTTAAGGACGCTTTATGGTGCGCCAGAAAGCGCCTCATCCACCAGCGGGAGAGGATGTCCATTGAGGACTGCCGCAGACTGATCCTCAGTCTGCTCAGAGACTATTCCTTGATGGACTTTAAGGAGGAAGAGGACGTCTGAAGATTTCCCCCTTCCCCCTACTCCCCCTTGCGTGTCTTTTGTCTTTAAATAAAGCTTCGGGCCTGTGTTTCTTTCCCCCCCCCCTTTTTTTTCCCCTTCCCACACTCACCCGATGCCTATTGTTGATCGTAATATCCGGTTTTCGTCTTTGCATGCACTAGTATTATTAGGAAACGTAATGTGTATTAGAATGTTACAGTTTTTGGGGTAAGCGGCGTTATGCATGACGTGGCGGTCGGGGGATTCGTCCTCTGCACATCACGTCAGGCACATCACGTCAGGCTGAGCGAATGTATTTATTTCTGAATGTATTTATTGTATGCTTGGAACTATATTGCTATGTGGTGCGCTGCGTCGCAGTATAGGGTGAGATGTACCCCGATTACACGTATCATGTTGTTTTTGATGCTTCTGTAATAAAAGTATCTTTTCAATCAAAAAATCAGTCGGGGAAGGGGGGGGGGGAGTTTTTCTACTGCTGTTTTTTTCTTCTTAAGGAAATCTTGCTTTTACATAAAAAGGGACCTCAACTGATTAGATGTGCACCATCTAGGACCCCATCAAGCATGCAGAAGAGTTGTTTCTATACTTTGGAGTTATATTAAAGGAGATATTACTATTATAAATTCATCTGTAGAGTTAAACCCTATTCCCAGACATTGAGAATCGAAAAGTGAGTTAGTCCAATTTTTTGATAGCCTAATTCAGCTCATTTTGGGAAAGCTGACTCAGTGCAGGAATTAACGTTTAAACTCAGGTCCTGCAGACCATTTGGGCTTGTGTAAGGTGGTACTGTGCATGATTATTTGGCTTTTCAGAGTGTCTAACTTTTATACATGCTTACTATCATTTCTTTTGTGCTTGTACTATTCACAGCTTTACCCAGGGGCGGACTGGCAACTCATGGGACCCCTGGGCAATAGGGGATCATGGGGCCCCTGTGTCCTTGCCCACACTCAAAAAAGCCTATAAAAAAGGTATCAGGGGCATTTCATGGGGCCCCATATTGACCCTGGGCCCTCGGGCGGTGCCCGAGTGCTCGAATGGTCAGTCCACCCCTGGCTTTACCTCAATACAATCAAAGTATTGGTTCACCATAAACTGTGTGATTATTTTGGGTTTGAAAACCAGGGGGTTCTCCTGGTCATGGTGGTGTCAGCAGAGGCTGTGATTCAATACCAGGCTTGGAACAGACAGGGAACCCACAATACTCAGTGGCTCTTTAGGGGGTAGTGCCACAATGCTGATTGGTGTATGTAATGGTTTATGTAGTGCCTTTTCCATAAGAACAATGCAGTATCACTCAAAAACTGGACCATGAGCTGAGTCTGTATCTGTATATCACAGAATCTTTCTAAACCCAATCAAAAAGAAAAAAAAAAGAAGTCTGCCAAGTAGTTATACAGACAAAAATAAAATGTGGAAAGAAGTTCTAGCAAAAAAATACACAAGCTTCTGGTATTTAGACAATATTTGCTTACATTGATTTTCTAAAACTTTTGACCAGTCTTGTTTTATGTAATAGTTTGTAATAATCTCAGCATAATTGAAGAACTGTGTCTTTATACTAGTGGGAAGTTTTGTAATGACTTATGTACTGTTAAATCACTGCTCCCAATTACCCTACTGAAGGCTTGTGAATACAAAATTAATTATAGATTGTCATTTCTGTCTCATTAGCACTATTATTTATAAGTGCCAAGGTGATATTTGTAACCTTATGTAATTGTATCACTTTGTGTGCTGCACCCTTAATGAATGCCTACTCTCTACATCATAATGCAGCCCTACCTCAGTACTGCCTTTCTTAGGCTAAGTCATAGTCTAGAAAATTCAGCATTTCATTTTTAGTAGTCTTCTGTTCTAACCAACTGAAAAAAGGTAAACTGGAACATCAAAATAACCTCAAATAGATAAATGCTGAATTATTTATCAAAGCTTTTTAACCATAACATGCAAGCAGCATATTAATACAGAAAGATAAAACACACTCATACAAAGAAAAGTTTATAGTGTCAGAAATAACAACGGTTGATTTATTAAAGGTAAATAGGCGATTCACTTTGCAAGGAAAGTTTCACTTTACAAGAGAAAAACAAATACAATATTGTAAAAGAGGTATAGATTCCAGAAAAAGAGCGATATCATATTACCCCTCTGCAAATCATTAGTAAGACCTCATCAGGAATATGCAGTTCACTTTTGGGCACCAATTCACAAAAAGAACATTGGGGAACTTGAGAAAGTACAGAGAAGGGCAACTAAACTAATATGAGGCATGGAGGAGATCAGCTATGAGGAAAGATTATAGGAACTGAATTTATTCCCTCTAGGAAAGTGGAGATTAACTACCTGCCGACCGCAGATAGCCGAATGACGGCTACACTGCGGCCGGCCAGTTCTGGGTGGTCGTCATATGACGTCCTCCCAGAACGCGCTCTCCTGCGGGCCCCAGGGGGCGCGCACCCGGCGATCTCCGTGATCGCTGTGTCCTACGGACACAGCTGATCACGTGATGTGGTAAAAGGCCAATCACAGCGGCCTTTTACCACGTGATCAGCGGTGTCCAATGACACGCTGATCAGAGGAAAATGCAAGTGCCAGTTCTCGGCTGCACTTTCCTCACGCTGTCAGATCGTGAGGAAAGTACTGCCGAGAACCGGCAGTTGTCAGAGCGGGGATCGGCACCGATCATCAGGGCACTGATGATCAGTGCCCTGATGATCGGTGCCCAGCAGTGCCACCCGCAAGCTCCGCCCACCTGTGCCCAGCAGTGCGCCCACTAGCTCCGCCCACCTGTGCCCAGCAGATCACCCACCTGTGCCCAGCAGTGCACCCACCTGTGCCCAGCAGTGCACCTACCTGTGCCACTCTGCAGTGTCACACACCTGTGCCCAGAAGTGCCACCCACCTGTACCCAGCAGTGTCACCCACCTGTGCCCACCCGTGCCCACCCACCTGTGCCCACCCACCAGTGCCACTCACCAGTGCCACCCACCAGTGCCACCCACCAGTGCTGCCAGTCAGTGCCACCAGTCAGTGCCCAGGGGTTGTGCCAGTCAGTGCAGCCAGTCAGTGCCCAGCAGTGATGCCAGTCAGTGCCGTCTATCAGTACCCATCATCAGTGTCACCTATCAGTGCCGCCTATCAGTGCTGCATATTAGTGCCGCCTATCCGTGACACCTCATTAGTGCTGTCTATCAGTGCCGGCTATCCGTGCCACCTCATTAGTACTGCCTATCAGTGCCCTTTAGTGCTGCCTATCAGTGCCCATCAGTGCCGCCTATCAGTGCCCATCAGTGCTGCCTCATCAACGCACATCAGTGAAGGAGAAAAATTACCTGTTTGAAAAATTTTATAATAGAAACAAAGAAACTTTTTTTTTCAAATTTTTTGCAATTTTGTATTTATAGTGCAAAAAGTAAAGTGCCCAGTGGCGATTAAATACCACTAAAAGAAAGCTCTATTTGTGAGAAAAAAATGATCAAAATTTCATATGGGTACAATGTTGCATGACCGCGCAATTGTCAATCAAAGTGCGGCAGTGCTGAAAGCTGAAAATTGGCCTGGTAAGGAAGGGGGTATAAGTGCCTGGTAGGCAAGTGGTTAAAGGGGAATATGATCAACATGTATAAATACATCAGTGGTTCATTTAGTGAACTCGGTGTAGAGCTATTCACCCTGAGGTCATCATAGAGGACAAGGGGGCACTCTTTACGTCTGGAGGAAAAGAAATTTAATCTCCAAACACACAAAAGGTTTCTTCACAGTGAGAGCTGTGAAAATGTGAAATAGACTCCCTCAAGAGTTGGTTCTGGCCAGCTCAGTGGATTGCTTCAAAAAAGGCTGGATTCTTTCTTGGATACAAGGAATATAACTGGTTATAACATTTATAGGTAAAGTTGATCTATGGAATATCCTATTGCCTCTCAGGGGTCAGGAAGGAATTTTTTCCCCCGCAGGAGCAAATTGGTTCATGCTTTGCTGGGTTTTTTGCCTTCCTCTGGAATAACTGTTAGTATAGGATTATAACTTTTTTTTTTTATGGTTGAACTGGATGGACTTTTGTCTTTTTTCAGCCAGACTAACTATGTAACTATGCAAAGGTCAATTCCATATAGCCAAATGTAGAAAGCTCCTAGGTAGTTAGAGGGAAATAGACTAAAATTGTTAGACAGGGGCTGAGTAGCAGCCCAGGTGCAACAGTCAGAGGTAGGTTAAAGCAGAGTTCCAGTTTTTTTTTTTTTTTTTTTTTTTGAAAGCATCCCCGGAATAGTGACAGCTTATGACATGCAATTTGGCAAAAACTGTACCTGTAATCGTTTGTGTTCCTTTTTTTTTAAAAATAAAGTTACTTACTGGACCCTCTGATTCTGCAAGGTTCCATCTAGAGTGTGGGTATCTGAAGCCCACTTGGACATTCTTCTGGGAAATAGTGCTGCTGGTTACCCAACATGCACCTCCCAATCTTGTGCCTGCGCAGTGTGAAGAAGGCGAAGCATATTATTTGTACTGAAGGTTGCTATAGCAATGGCGGCACCGGCGGAAGTTCTTGCCCAGGGGCGGACTAACAATTCATGGGGCCCCTGGGCAATAGGGGATCATGGGGCCCCTGTGTCCTTGCCCAAACTCAAAAAAGCCTATGAAAAAGGTACCAGGGGCATCTCATGGGGCCCCCTACTGACCCCGGGCCCTCGGGCAGTGCCCGAGTTTCCAAATGGTCAGTCCGCCCCTGTTCCTGCCACATTGCTGATGGGCAGGAGCCTGGGAGGGAGCCCAGATGGAGAGAGGCTCACCTACAGGCAGAAGGGCCTGGGAAGACTGAAAGCTTGCAACTTCACTGGCCCCTGAGAGAGGACCATCTGTGTGGCAGGGAAGGAGCGGCCCAGCTAGAAGGCCTGGTAGCAGCAGCTGACTCACCAGCAACACAGGAGAAAGACTATGTGAGTAAAACTGCACCCCCTGGGCTAGTTAGGGGAAGGAGCATTCTAGTGGGAAACTGGATTAGACTGCCACCCAGGAATGTTTCACCCTTTTTATGTTGCAGATACTGGATCCCCTGTCCAGGGATTCCTTCAGGCAGCCATAAATAGAAGCATCTGGGGTGGTACTACAGGAGATGCTGGCTAGCTCTCCAGAAGAGACTGTTTGTACCACTTGTACAAAGTTCAGGAAGTTGTCGTCGGTTTCTCAATTCCATTGGGCACCCTGTACACCCCTTACCCTATCCAAGTTCCACATCTCCTAATAAAACTTCAAAACAAGCTCAAGGACTGGTTACTGACTCCTGAATGCAAGTCTTTGTTGAAATGTGTGTTGCCTGGCTGTGCAGGACTATAGGGGGACCCAAAAACTCAGCAACTCCTATGGGGGTAGTGCTACACAAAGATAAAGCCATCAACAATATGCTCAAAGTATTGACAAAGTACTTTATCTGACCCCAAGGTTGTGGGAAAGGTACTCCTTTCCAGTTGTCTGTTGTGTGATCATGAATGCAGTTTGTCAGGGGGAATCATAGGGAGGGATTAACTAAAACTGGAGCATGCAGAATCAGCTGCAGATGTCCATAGTAACCAATCAGCTTATAATATCAGCTTGTTCAAGTAAGCTTTGCCAACAGAACCTAGAAGCTGATTGGTTACTATGCAGAGCTGCACCAGTTTCTGTGTGCTCCTGTATTAGTAAATCCCCCCAAAGTGCCTAGTGCATGAGATTTAAATGGTTTAGAGGAGGGACATGGGGGATAGGAAGGGTGTGCTTAGAGTGGGGTGTAGGGGGATAGATAAGGTGGGGGAGGGAAAAAGATGGGGGAGGAGGAACAGGGAGGAAGGAGAGGAGGGCAACTCTCTTCTGTCCAGACTCCACAATCTGCGTGTGGCCTACCTGCCATGCAAATGTTTCTACCTGATTTGCAAAAGACTGCTTCATGCTCAGAGGAGGTGGAAATGCATTCCATTTAAACCATATTTTCTATGATTTATTATGAATTATTTATTATTACCTCTGCTGAAAGAAATAAGGTGTTCTATGCATGTGATCTCATTTATTTTGGCTATACAGAAAGCAATGAAATTAGAGTAATACATTTGGAGTCTAGCAAAAGCACTGAATGCTTTTAAATCTCTTACTATGACAGTCGTATGTGGATTTTATGCATTTGCTGCAAAGAATACTTGTGTTTTCAAAGTGACTGCTTTTCACATATAATTTCACAACTTTTCCGCATTGACAGAGTAAAAAATTGCTGTAAAGTTGCTGTAAGTAAGTTCATCAAATGACTTTTCACAGATCATTTGACTGTTCTTCTATGTGATTAGCAACTACTGTAAGCCTGGTGCATCTGTATTCATATTAGCCACCATTGAACCCAATTAGCAGAACATTATCCCCACTGAAGTCTAAAACCAGATAATGCTCATGAGCCGGGCTGTGTTTCTATTTCTGGAGCGCCAGATGTGTCATTTTCCAGCAGTGACTGTAGGTAGTATTTTGATCACATATGTAAAGAGCACTACACTACCATGGTTGTTTACATGCCTGGAGAATCTTGGCACGTAAATGAATGGGGCTGATGATGTCAGTGGTTGCTAATAATGCGGTGGGTGCTTAACAACCATTGACAGTGGACAAAGATAGCTATTATATATTATATAGTAGCAGGAGGAAAAAACAGCTCCTACAAATGGGCTGAAAGTCTGGTGTCTGTACAATCAAAGTTCAATCCGGGTCTGTGTTCTGACTGCACCAAAAGCTCATCCCTAATCATCACCAATGTTAGACTCATTCACTTCCCAAAAACATTCACATATTAATTCCTTGCCCTGCTACCTTTCCCAAACCTAGCACATCTTAGCTTTGCCTACCCTCACATATTCTCACTATCCTGCACCACTTAACCTTGCACATTTTGCCCCCACCCATGTTCCCATTAGTTTTCCTGAACGCCTGAAACACTTTGCACCCTCTACATCCTTTCTAACCTGGCACAGCCTAATTCCCTCCTCTGGTTCCTCTCACAATTGACCACCTATTACTTCACATATATCCCCAGACTCCTCTTATACCTAGCACCATTCTCCACCCTCCTCCCTCTACTCAGCCATAAACCCTCCTCTCCCCTACCAATGATCTTGCACCATAATCCAATGCTTCCCAACCCTCCTTTGCTGCCCACACCCTCATACACTTCTTCTACCTTTCTCCCACCAAATTCTCCTTAACTCCTCCCAACCTTGGACCAGACCCAGCCTCTTCCTCTACTCCTTATTTTTTTTTTTTGTAAAAATAATTTTTATTTTAGCTTGAAAAATTAATATAGCAACTATTGTCTTCCTCCAAGCCACTGCTCTCCCAACTAGACCCAGGGAGCCAAGGTTTCCATATAGTTTTTAGAATTTCAGTTGTTAACATTTCTAAAGATATGATTGTAGATTCCATGGTTGAGGTTGTATGGCCTGATCAATTCAGAGAGAAAGCCAGGCTGTTTTTCCAGGGCTGGGTAGGCTGACATCTGCACAGATTTACACATACCTGGGAACGTTTGAAAATGAGAGCAGAGTACAGGTGTGGAGTAGTCAGTGGGGATAATCACAGTGCATCCCACACCAAACGGTACCAAATTGTGCAAAAAGTGGAGGAGGCTTAAAGGATTGTTTCTAAATATGTCAATAACCAACCTGCCCATACATGGATTGAAATTCTGCCACTCATTGCTGAACTGACTACATTTTGATCCACTTATGGCCGGCTTAAGTGAAAGACAAAAAAAAGAATATATCTTGACTGGGATAAAAAAACAAAAAAAAAAAAAAACCCAGTGTATACAACCTTGTTCAACAGGGAAAACAACTGTTGAACAAAGTGTGACTTAGAGTTTGCAGTAAAGAAATTAGAGTGATATTATACCCACAGTGTTTTAAGTACTTTCAGTAGCAGACTTAAATAAGTTACTGAATATGCAGCTTTTTTTTATCTTCTTATCCTTATCCATGTTCCAGTTTAAGTTGGTGTCATGACTGCTGGCCTAGGTTTCCTTTTTCAGGCTCCTTATTCTTGCAGTGTCCTATGGAACCATCATTGGAGCACATAGCCCAGTAGCCTAGGATGACAGGG